CAACGATCTCTACAATGACTGCAAAGTTCTGTTCGACGACTGCTATAGAAATAGCTTTGTTTGAAGTGATGAAAGCCATAGACATCACACCCGACGGCTTAATCGGCCACTCGTTTGGTGAGATCGCCTGTGCTTACGCTGACGGATGTCTGTCCACAAGGGATGCTATGATTGTCTCGTATTCCAGAGGAATGACTGAAAACGACAAACAAATCCCAAAGGGTTTGATGGCAGTCGTGGGTCTCTCTAAGTTTGAGGCCAAGAAGTTGTGTCCGAAAGGGGTATTCATTGCCTGTAATAATGCTAAGGATTCTGTAGTTGTTTCCGGTAATTATTACAGTACTACTTATAAGTTATAACATGATATAAATTAAGTTAAAATAAAATTGAATTTTCACTATATTTTAGGTCCAATGAATGAAATGAAAGAAATGATGAAAACATTGGAAGAAAAGGCAGTATTTGTTCGACGACTACAGAGCAGTGAAATCCCATANTCACTATATTTTAGGTCCAATGAATGAAATGAAAGAAATGATGAAAACATTGGAAGAAAAGGCAGTATTTGTTCGACGACTACAGAGCAGTGAAATCCCATATCATTCACAATATCTCATATCCAGTGCACAGCCTATGACTGACGCCATCAAGAAATACATACCAAACCCTAAACTCCGCTCAAGGAAATGGTTGTCCACATCAGTAGTGACCTCAGATATCAATGAATCACTTAAATATGCTTCGGCTGAGTATTTTACATACAATCTCCTTAAACCTGTTCATTTCTATGAAAAACTACTCGAACTGCCCAAAGATGCCGTAGTCCTTGAATTGGGTCCGCATTCAGGGTTCAAGAAAGTGGTGACCGAAACACTTCCCAACTCTACCTACTTATCGTTAATTAAAAAGGACTCAAACGATACAAATCTGGATATGTTTTTGTCCGGATTGGCAACACTTTACGAATTGGGTTACAATCTGTCGATCGATAAACTCTACCCACGAGTCGAGTGGCCGGTGCCGAGGGGTACGCCGTCTATTGGGTCGCTCATCAAATGGGATTATAGCTCAAAGTTATCGTGTCGGCTATACCCTGAGCACTACGATAGGTCTAATGCATCGGATTTTAATTATGTGGTCAAATGTTATGATAAAACTGACCGGTTTTACCTAGATCACAAGATCGATGGTAAACCTATATTCCCGGCCACCGGTTACTTGATGTTAGCCTGGCGTAAATTGGCCGGCAGTGTTGGCAAATTGTGGTATAAAGTACCTGTCGTATTTGAGAATGTTCAATTAAAACGAGCCACGTTTTTATCGGATGAAATAGACACCAAGCTCACAGTCAAATATTATCCTTTAACAAGTACAGTTTCATTAATTTTCTTAAAATCATTATTTACAAAAATGTAAATGATACATTAACCAAACCTATTACATTATCCAACAACCTAGATGACTTTTCTGTGTACAACAACGACAACCTGTGTTGTGTGGGAAAAATCCGGGCACCTGGCGATGACGTGCTGATCGCTCAAAATAAAATCTACGAAACCGAGGGAAAGGTATCCAATTGTGAGTACAAACTGGAAAGGGATGACATCTATAAGGAGTTACGTGTTATGGGCTATGATTACGGCCCGGAGTTTCAACGCCTCCGTAAAGTCGCCACAAATGACTTCAAAGAGATTTACGCCATAAATGAATGGACCGGCAATTGGGTCACGTATATGGACGCCATGTTGCACACCATGGCGTTAAGCATGCCTTTCCGTAAGCTACAGGTGCCGGTCATGATTCGCAAGCTATGTGTTGACCCAGGGGTGTTGTTCGACGCCGTCAAACGCCATAAGATTGAGGGCCGGGAGGTCAGGGATGGCAATGAAATTGGTGACCTCTATAAGGATTCGTACGACATGTATGTGTTGTCAGATCCTAAGGAGCACTGGGAGGTCGATCATGACGCTCAAGCTAGGAGTGAGACATACGTCGAAATGTTGACGTTAACGCAAAAAATGGTGGACCGATTTTGTATGTACCCTGCTAATATGCCCGTATATTTTAACGCCACAACCAAACTCGTGGTGGCTTATGGTATTGAAATGGAGGACGTGATGTCGTTCCCCATACCCAGGCGTATGGACACAAGTGACCTGGTGTTGGATTCGTACGAGTTTTGCGCCCACCATGATGATTTTGCAATTGATACAAATATGTCGACTAATCTCACTCCATATATTGAGGTGGGTTATTACATACAATATTAATTACTTTAAATGTTTTTTTAAAAACTTATTATTATATCAGATAAATGTGTGGAAAGTATTAGAAATTATTGAAAAGACAAATTGTATTAAAAGGTTGCCTTATAATCAATAATCAATAATCAATAATCAATAATCAATAATCAATAATCAATAATCAATAATCAATAATTAATTGTATTAAAATTATTTTAAAATATTAATTATTGTTTAAATTATTTTTGTTATAGTGATACAAAAAAATAGCTCTTTATTAATGTGTTTTAACATACAATGTAGAACAACATTAACTGTTATATCAACGTGATGTTGCAGGGTCTTTTTTATAAATTAAAACTTATAAACTATGTATAGTTGGAAAAGCTCATTTAGGTCCAACTATATTGGTGTACGTACGTGTGAATATCACAAGGTATATTACAAAATGTTAATTTATTTGTAATAATGAATATATTTTTTTGAACAAAATTTTCAAAAAAAGAAATTAGTGAGTAAAATAATTAACAAATTGTAAAATACCCTACGACATTCACCCGTAGGTATACGAATTTATGTGGACTAAAATGAGTTTTTTCAACTGTGCATAATTTGAATGTGAAATAGACATGTGCATTGTTTTTCTAACAAATTACAAAATAGACTAATAGCCAATCAAAATAGGTGTATATATTATATACTATATAATAACCGTATATATTATATACTATATAATAACCGTATATATTATATACTATATAATAACCGTATATATTATATACTATATAATAACCGTATATATTATATACTATATAATAACCTATGTTAATGTATTTATTCAGGTTTGCAAATTACTGACGGCTAGAGTAAAGCAAATGAGTTATAATGAAATGAAATGTGATTTCAATCATCAGTCGATTAGTGATGAAGTAATAGAAGAGTACAGAAATGCAAACAATGAAAATCATGTTATGTTTCGATTATTGGATAAAATATTGTCAGAAAACGTTGACTTGAATATGAATTCCACTCAAAATAATGGCCTAAAAACTGTTTCAAAAGATCAAACCAATGCTGAATGCGATTTGAGTCGCGATTTAATAAATCAAATCTCAAGTAATGAGCGAATGATTAGATCTCTTGTTGACATCGTTTGCGAAAACTTTGTGACAATAAATGAGTTGAAAGTAACGGAAATTAATTTAAGTCATAATCTATTGGTTGAAGACGTGAACAGATTTATAACACAATTCCGTATTAAACCCTTTGATGTCGACTATAATATAATCGTTAAACTCAAACAAAATGTTAAAGAAATTCTCAGAGAAAAGTCAGTGGAATGGGATGTAAAGGAAAACCTAACATTAAAACCGTCACATTTTGTGGTAATGAGAGACACACCGGACTTATGGCCAATAGATTTGCAGACATTTATGCAGGACTTGTATGACTCGATCCAATCAAACGGATTCCTATTAACGGTATTCCGCTATAAGTTTACGGAACCGGAGATCGCATTGAACTCATTGAACGGAAAGCCATTTCCCAATAATAATGAACTGACACTACGTTTAGAAAAATTCGTGACAATTGCCAAAAGTGTTGGTTTGCGTCTAATATGCAAAAAGTGCGATACAATAGGAACGGTATGTCTGTTGTTTAGAAAAGTATGGGAAACACATCCATATCCGGACAGTCATAATATCATTCACATAACGGGCGGTAATTATCAGCAATGGTTTGGAGTATTGCAGGAAAGGGTGATTGAGGCCAAAGAGGCGGACAACCAAACGGATAACATATGGCTGATTGCAAACGACTCATCAATTAATGGCATAATAGGTCTCATGAATTGCTTGCGATTAGAACCGGGAGGAGAGAACTGGAGATATATTTTCAATTACGACAGCACCGGTAGTCCAATGGATATAGACTTCAATGTCAACCCTTATAGCGATATATTGGCCAACGATTTGGTGGCGAATGTCGTGAAAGAGGGAAAAGTGGGAACTTATCGACACTTAAGACTTCCCACGGATTACGACAAATGCCTCTCAAATGACTATCACTTGAATTCATCAAAAATTGGAGATTTAGGAGGTCTTCAGTGGTATGACTCCCGGAGTATAGCCCGCGTTAATGAGATGTGGGGAATGAGTAATAATAAAGAGACTGTCACCAGGGTCGAGATCTACTGCTCCGGTATCTCATTCAGAGATGTCATGTTATCAACCGGTAATAAACATTTCATGAAATGTTATATTTTGCATAATAATAGAAATGATAAGAATATAATAAATTATTCGTAACCAGGTCGTATACCATTTGGCCCTGAACAGTTATTCACAGATTGCTTGATAGGCTATGAATACGCCGGTCGTAGGGCCGATACGGGTGAACGTGTGATGGGTCTGGAAGGGGGCCGTACGGTCGCCACCTCTATTAACGCCAACCTCTCGGGTATGACTAAAATACCCGACCACTGGTCTATGGCCGACGCGTCCACTATTATCAACAATTATAGTACGTTGTGGTATGGACTCATAAAACGTGCCAATTTGAAGAAAGGTAATAGTTTTTAAATAAACTCCCTTATTATTATTATGTTATTAATAGAAAGCTTTCATATGTATAAAGCATTATAGTTAATATTTTTATTTTGTATTAATTTTAAGGCGAAAGCATTTTAATACACTCGGCGGCGGGAGGTATCGGACAGTCGGCTATCAATATCTGCAAACACTATGAGTGCGATATCTATGTGACGGTCGGCACGGAAGACAAGAAACAGTTTCTTATGGAAGAGTATAACATACCGGAGGATAGGATACTGAACTCGAGGGACATTTTGTTCAAGAATCAGATCAAAGAGTTAACGAATGGAAAGGGAGTCGATATTGTGATCAACTCGTTGGCCGGAGACAAACTGGATGCCAGTTATGAGTGCCTGGCTAATTGTGGCAGATTTGTAGAGATCGGGAAGTTTGATATGTTTCAAAACAAGCAGCTGGGTATGTTTGACTTTCTGAGGGACATACAGTTTATTGGTGTGGGAATGGACGCCGTCTTTATGAAAGACCCTAACTTTTGGCAAGACTTTTACGATTGGATGCATAAGAACTGTACGAATGGTTGCGTAAAACCATACAATTATACCCTTTATAACGCCTCGGATGTCGATTAGGCCTTCAGATTCATGACAACCGGTAAACACATCGGGAAAGTAGTCATCAAAATGAGAGACGAAGAGATGGATAGACAGCCACTGAAAGCCATTAAACCGGCCGTCGATATGATGGTTACGGTTAAGACGTATTTCAATCCAAACAAAGTATACATAATAACTGGAGGTTTGGGTGGGTTTGGTATGGAACTGGTGCCCTGGATGTTATATTATGGTGCAAGGAAGTTTGTGGTCACTTCCAGATCAGGGGTCAAATCGGAGTATCAAAAATGGCTGTATAATAGGGCTCAAGCAATAAATGAAGATTTCAAATATTTTATTTGCGATTACGTCGTGTCGACCGCCGATTGTATGACTATTGAAGGCACACAACAACTCATAAAAGAGGCCCAAAAGTTGGGACCCATTGGAGGGGTATTTCATTTGGCACTCGAACTCAACGATTGCTTTATAGAGAAGCAAACGTTTGATATGTTTTACTCGACCATTGGTACAAAACATAAGATATTTGCAAATTTGGATCAATTGACCCGAAAACTGGACTATAATTTGGATTATTTTGTCGTAATTTCATCGGTGACCTGCGGCAAAGGAAACGTAGGTCAGACTAACTACGCGTTCGGGAACTCCATGTGTGAACGTATTTGTGAACAACGCCGGAGGGATGGCTTACACGGACTGGCCGTACAGTACGGACCCATCGGTGATGTCGGAGTGTTTGCCAACTCAGGTGACTGGTTGTCAATGACGTCAATGAGAGTACAGCGGATCCACTCGTGTTGCGATGTTTTGGACAAATTGTTGGCAATTAAACAGCCGATCGTTACTTCATATGTAAGAGACTATACATTGATTTAATATAATTTTTAATGACTCATATACAAGGATGTTTTTAAACATCTATACAATTTGAGATACTTGGCATTTGGACACCTTGTATATTTTTAATAAGTCATTTTCTAAATTGTAGAGAAAGAGATTTTTATGTTTTATATAGTTTGTACATAAACAAAAAGTAGGTAGATATTATTTTCATGGCTGAATTTGTACTAGATTAACATTGGTCAGATCATAAAGGACGGTAACTCTATCCCTGGCCTGGGAGCTGAATTGTGGCGAAGTTTAGGCATCGACCCCGAGACCACACCCAACCACCTAACCCTGGGTGAGATCGGTTTGGAGTCCATATTTGCCAATCAATTGCAACAAGACCTTGAAAGGGAGTGGAAAATTAAAATCACCCTGAACCAGATTAAAAGTATCACAATCGGCCTATTAAAGGACTATGAATCTGGTAACGTGGATAATATTAAGGCACATATTGACGACATTAAAAGGTGCAAGGCTAAATTGTTAAATCAAAAGATCGTAATGCCGACCGAAAAGTATGAACGTCTGAATACCGTAACCAAGGGTCGACCCGTCTATATAATGCCAACCCTTTTCCTTAACTTTCAACTATTTGGTGACCTAGCTCAAAGGTTAAACCGTCCATTAATTGGCTTAAATTGGACCAGAGAGGTTAGCCAACTGACCAATCTTAAAGAAATTATCAAGCACTACGTGGACTTATTACATCACCTGGAGCCAAAAGGCCAGTACGATGTTTTAGGCTATTTTGATATGTCTATAGTTTGCTCCAAACTACTGCTGAAGGGAATGGTAGATAAGGCGGTTATTGTGGACATCATTAGTGATCAACAGGTCTGTGACGAAACGCTTACTAACGATGTAATACTGGAGCTGATGTTGCACTACATGGCCAGTGATTTACCGGAGCTGTTCAGGCAGAAAATGTTCAGAGATTTTAAAAAGGAGCCGGATATCAATGTTAAGGTGCGGTCCATCGCCAATGAGATCCTGGTGTTTGCTGGCAAAGGACTACAGGCGCTCGATATGGAGGAGATATTTCACGTAATGATAGCCCGGATTCGTATGCTATGGGAGTATAGACTCAATAAACGCAAGAAGTTTTCAAATCGACTGAAACTCACGATCGCAAAGAAATGGGCGAAAAGGACGGGGAAATTGGTTTTCATTAAACCGGTTATGTTTGATGGCGTCGATGATGTGGATGCGGTGATGGAAAAGTCAAGGGATTTGCATTTTCTACCTGGCTCAAATGTATGTATTGCTTAATGTATTAGGTATCGCACAAAGTTTTGCGAGGTACGATTTATTCAGCAATGGATAGAGATATTGAATATATTTTTGAACCTCAACTAAGGTTTTTACTCATTTGTATTCTCCCGCAGAGACTATTGGATTGGAGCACCGGTAGCTTTGCACAGGTAGCTATAATGTACAGCAAAAACTATAAGTCCTAGAAAGACAAGCGACACATCTTTGGAAAGAGCATAAAAAATGATCGAACCCGTCTATCGGGATTTCCCTGGTAAATTGATCAATAAGGGACAGGAAGGCCCGGTAAGAAATAATATTGAATAAAATAAAGATAAATAAAATTCCGATTAAATCCGACTAGACCATCATAATGTGCTTCAAAAGGAGATAAGTTTAGCACTTTAAACTTTTAAGATATCTTTAGAAATAACTAATCTAGGGCTTCAAATGAAGTATGTAATTACGATAAACAAAAATTTTAAAAAATTAAAAACAATATTAACTAAAAAATAATGTGGAATAAGTTATAATTCATTGTTATTTATTAAAGGAGTTAAATTGTTTATTATTATATTGTTAAATTTACATAATATTTGTTTTATTAATTAATTAATTAAAATATCTTTACCCCTGGAAAATGCTTATTACAAGTAAAGCAATTTATTTAAATATTAAATATGGTTATATATTTTTAGTAATATTGTTATTTAAGGGTTGCGACTATTTTTGAGACTACCTCCCCGGCCATTATGTCCATAACACTCGTAGTGTTAACGGCATTCATTTCGATATTATGCTGTCCATCCTATTTGGAAATGTTATAAAATATAAAATACACTAAATTTCACATCTTAAATATACTATTAGGTTTCGCACAAAGTTTTGCGAGGTAGATTTTGCAGCTTAAAAATTAAATTCTCAGCAACCAATATTGGTATCAAAAATATTTTTGAACCTCAACTATGGTTTTTGCTTTAATGTATTCTCCCGAAGAGACTACTTGATTATAGCACCGGTAGCTCGGCACAGGTAGCTTTGTTTAGCATTTTAAACTTTTAAGATATCTTGAGAAATAACTAATCTAGGGCAAATCAAAATCCTTAAGTTTTACAGATTCATCAAAATTCTTACAAATTTTAAAGTTATCTAGCTCACGTATATATGAAGATATTTATAAAATTCCAAATTCAAATGTTATTCATTTTTTGAGTAGATCTTAATGACCTAATCAGAACTTGACTTTAAAATAATTTTTGCAAAATCATGACCTACAGGGCCTCCCTGTCCCTTATTGATCAATTTGTCAGGGAAATCCCGATAGACGGGTTCGATCATTTTTTATGCTCTTTCCAACGATATGTCGCTTGACTTTCTAGGACTTATAGTTTTTCCTGTACAATAAAGCTACCTGTGCAAAGCTACCGGTGCTCCAATCCAATAGTCTCTTCGGTAAAATTCCAAATTCAAATGTTATTCATTTTTTGAGTAGATCTTAATGACCTAATCAGATCTTGACTTTATAATAATTTTTGCAAAATCATTACCTACAGGGCCGCCCTGTCCCTTATTGATCAATTTGCAAGGGAAATCCCGATAGACGGGTTCGATCATTTTTTATGCT